AAAATATGGTTGCACAAAAGTATGTTGTGTTGTGGAAGTATGAAAAAACAAGCTAACTGAACAAACAGTTAACATTCCTTTACCTGAGAAAACTCATGAATAGACGACATAGAAACAAAATATAGACTTGAAAACAAGGCTAGTACTCATCACAGCAAATGCATAACAGAGTATTTACATCAAATAGAATACGATGCAACTGCTTTGGTCCATAACATCACAAATTGCATTGTTCCATGAAATTATTGAACATCACAAAATTGAGAACCATGTCACTGGGCATGGTGAATTTACCAGGTAAAAGCTGAACGGAATGCTGAACTAGTTTGCACATATATGTGAAAAGTAAAGGAACTATAGCCAACGTGTAAACTCTCACATGCTTGAGGAACTTTCCCACACATCCAGCAAGAATGGATGGCAAGCATACCAAACCAAATAAAAAATTGCAACTGATTCTGAAACAGGAAAAAACTATCATGCGGCAGCTCAGATCTCACATCGCTGCCTGAAAAATCAACCCACCAAAAAAACCGCCACATATATGACTGAACCCCATAAAACCATTCGTCCGTTTTCCTCTCAATCCCGTTGCAAAGCACGGGCACAGCACTAGTATTCCAAATGTATTGAGTTCACCTCCCTCTGCATGATCACAGAATGAGATTGTTCATGAGAAAACCACCTCCACTGCCACCGCTAGCACGCAATATGGTAACTTGCTGCAAAGCAAGCCTCCTAGTTGGAGGCTAGCCGATCAATTGAACAAAGAACCAACTCAGGAGGTGTTAATAGATCTCCCAACACCAAAGGGCCAAAAATTCATCACAGCCGAGCAATAAAAAAAAAGTAGTGTTTTTCTCAAAATTAGTTTGGAACAAACATTGCAAGCAACCAAAGAAACTGTTAGTCTTCACTTCTCTGTGAGCTGCCTTGGAAAAGGTTTAACATCATCATCATCATTGCATTCCGTCGGAACAAGTCCGGGTCCATTGTAACAGGGAAGTGAAGAAGAAAATGCTGGCATAGAAACACAGTTCACAGAGAGAAAGTAACCAGGGCTCCTTTGGAACACAGGATTTTCCCAGGAATTAGTTCAACAACCATGTAAATCCTCCACTCTATAGGAGGCCCAAGTAGGCTCAGATTCGCCTTTACTCAGTCATACAGACCCAACCGCCACATATCTTGCACCACAATCTACGCATCGTAATGTAAGTGGATTTGCCCTGGCTATCATTAACAGAATGACCATCCTAGTTGCAAGAACCACCTAACATTAGTGAGTGGATAGGTTGCCAGAGATGATAGGACCAGGTCCAATTGACACCCACAGCTGCCTTGATTGTTCAATGGCAGGATTGTCAGAAAAGGTTGATCATCATTGCCCTTCTTCCACTAACCATTTCATGTTTCCAAAATTCTAGACACAGATGATAAAACCATACATATATACTCCCACCGTTCCAAAATACAAGCAGAATAACTAAGTGCGTACGTACTGCCAACGAGATCAGCTCGCAAGCTCTCTCTGCGGCGAGGAGAGTGAGGAAGAGGAGGAATGGCAGTGTAGAGTAAAATGGCGACCAAATAGTTTAAAATCCATCAATTGGGAAGGAAACTGACAAGGAATAAGTTCACTTTAGGTCCCTCAACTAATGTAAATGGATCTGCCCTGGTTATCATTTATCGGAATGACCATCCTAGGCACAAGAACCACCTAACATTAGCAGGTGAATAGGTTACAGAATGGCCAATTTGGTTTACGGTTTGGAGTTTGCATGTACTGAACTGTAACCATACATATATATATGCATACATACATGCCCACAAGATCAGACTCGTGAGCTTTCTCACGTGAGGTTGCACGGAGACGGAGGAGGGAGGGGAGAGAAGGGATGGCAATGTACACATTCATGACCAAATTGTGAAAAATCCATCAATGGCAGCTCAGATTTCACGTTGCCCAACTAACCCGGAGGCAGAAAGCCAACGCGGATACAGCCTCAACAGTCCCCACCCCTTCTGCCACAGGCACCTCAACATCAGCGGCTGCCAAAGCGGTGGCCTCCATGCCAATATGGAGCACCACATGCGAAGCATCAAGGAATGGCTCTGAGAAAGCGGAGATCAAAGTCAGCCACCACCGCTCACGAGAAGCACCGGAGCAAACAGCCTCCTTCCTCATCGCCGCCATTCCGAACACCCAACTTTTAGGGGGAACAAACTGTCTGTTACTCGTACTAAGGTTAAGGCCCAGAGAAAAGCTTCCAAACTTCCAGATCTAGAAGAGAAGCTAAGCTTTAAGACAGAGAGAAAGGCGTGGGTAGAGAGGGATTAGAAAGAGGATGCACTACGGATGCTCACCAGAGAGTATGCGGCGGAAGCAGCAGGACAATGGCACAGCAGCTCGCGGGATGGAGATGGGGGGACAGGGGTGCCATGGAGCTCAGGCAGCAAGGGAGCCCCCAATGGTTGACAGATGTTCTCGCAGCGATTTCCGGAAACATACCATGGCACTCCCAGCGTCAAGCCCAGGCAGACAACACCCCCCCCCCCCCCATGAGGAGGTGCCTCCACCACACAATGGTAGCAGCAGCAGCAACAACAACAAAGTATATACATGTGTGTGTGTCTATATATATATATATATATATATATATATATATATATATATATATATATATATATATATATATATATATATATATAAGATCGTTACAGCAGCAGTAGCTGAATGACGAGGAGAGCTCAAGCCAGCGGTAACAGCGAAACTTCACAAAATCGAGATTGAAAGTCCAAAATAGCCATTCATCACTGACAGGAGCTCAGGCCTCAAGGTCCGATGACCAAACCCTACCTGTCACCATGGCACCGATGCCACACCAGACAATACCAACCTACGGTTCCCAGCCCCCAACGCCGCCGCACGGCCATGGATGAGAATCCAGGCAACCGCACGGCGCACGCGTGGTGGAGGCGGCCCCGGAGTGTCAAAATAGTGGCAAATAGTTACAATGGCATGGATCCAATGGCAAATAGTTAAATTTCCCCATGATTTCTGCTTGCCCTTATAGCTCAGTTTGTAGAGCGTCCAACTGATACACGCACGCACACAAGCGTACACAGTGAGGAGAGTATCAGAGGAGAGATTGGAAGGAGGAGAAGGCGGCGGCGGCGGCGGCGACGACAGTGAATGGCATTACATCGAATGCCAGTTAAAGTGATGCCATTCCAGCAAATCAACTCTTGCGATGGTAGATGTGCAATTTTCTCACCAGATTTGGCTGATAGCCATTAGTCTGCTGTACTATTAAACCTGCTCTGATCTAGGGTTCCAGCCCCCCACCACGGCCGCACAGCCATGGATGAGCATCCAAGCAGCCACGCGCGAGCGTGTGTGGAGGCGGCCCAGACTGAAGCAAATCAGAAATCTGGTGATGGTAATGGTGAAGGCGAGCACACCAAACCAAAAACCAAATCAAAAGCTCAACTGAAACAAACGTACGAATCATCCATCCATCGCGCGGTGGTGGCTCAGATCTCAGCGTGGGCTCGGCGCGGTAGCCGCACCGCACCGCACCCCACCCCACGAGCCAACGGATCCCAAAACCCCCACCCCACCAAGCTCGCCGCGGCGGCTGCTCCTCCACTAGGGGGGAGCATCCCAAGCCACAGCGTCGCCGCGCGGAGGCAGGGGTAGCACCGGTGGATCGGGGGGCCGATGCCGCCGCCGCCGCATCAGTCCTCATCACCACCATTCCCACAAGGTCTAAGGGTTCGATCGATCGATCCATGCCATGCATGATGATGCATAGGCCACCACGGGTGCGGCGAGCAGCGTCGCTCGGCTCGCGGTTAGTCAGCTCTCTGCCACCCACCCGCCGCGGCGGCCTAGCGATTAGAGGAGAAGAGTGAGATTGGGAGTGGTGGTGGGGGAGAAGGAAGAGGAGACGAGACAGACGAGTCCGATAGGAAAAAGTACACCGAAGGTCCCTCAACTTGTCATCGAGCTACAAAATCGTCCTTGAACCGCAAACTAGAGCTCAAGCTAGCGTTAGCAGCGAACTTTGCAAAATCGAGACCGAAAGTCCAAAATAGCCATTCATCACTGACAGGAGCTCATGCCATGGCACAGATGCCACATCAGACAATACCAACCTACGGTTCCTGGCCCCCATCACCGAGGAACGGCCATGGATGAGCATCCAGGCAACCGCACGCATGGTGGAGGCGGCTCCGAAGTGTCAAAATAGTGGCAAATAGATAAATTTCCCCATGATTTCTGCTTGCCCTTATAGCTCAGTTTGTAGAGCGTCAAACTGATACACGCAATGAGGAGAGGATCATAGGAGAGATTGGAAGGAAGAGAAGGCGGCGGCGGCGACGACGGCGAATGGCATTACATCGAATGCCAGTTAAAGTGATGCCATTCCAGCGAATCCACTCTTTTGCAATGGTAGATATGCAATTTTCTCGCCACATTTCCAACAAAGATCCCGAGATAGATGTGGCTTATAGTCTGTACTATTATACTTGCTCTAATCTACGATTCCCGGCCCCCACCACGGCCGCACAGCCATGGACGAGCATCCAAGCAGCCACGCGCGAGCGTGGGTGGAGGCGGCACCGAAGAAAATCCCTTGAACACAAGTGAGTTGCCACTTTGTTCATAGAGGGGGTGTGTGTGTGTGAGAGAGAGAGAGAGAGATGAGATTACGGATCTGTAGTTATAATGGCATTGGATCCAATTAACCCACAGTTAAATTTCCCCCTTGTTCTTGTGGGGAAATCTTGACATTGTGCCATTGTCAAAAATGGGTTCAAAAGGAGAGGGGAGCAGAGCAGAGAGACTGAAACAAATCAGAAATCTTATGTGCAAACTGTGCAATTAGGCTCAACAAGATTCGTCTCGTGATTTCCATGGTAATGGTGAAGGCGAGCACACCAAACCAAAAACCAAATCAAAAGCGCAACTGAAACAAACGTACGAATCATCCATTCATCGCCCGCGGTGGTGGCTCAGATCTCCCCGTGGCTGCCCCGCCGCGGCACTCCGACCCCAACGACCCAACGGATCCCAAACCCCCCACCCATCGAGCTCGCCACGGTGCCTGCTTCTCCACCAGGGGGGAGCATCCCAAGCCGCAGCGTCGCTGCGCGGAGGCAGGGGTAGCACCGGTGGATCGGGGGGCGGGGGCAGCGGCGCCGGCGCCGCATCCGTCCTCATCGCCACCTTCCCCACAACACAAGGTCCCAGGTTCGATCGATCGATCCATGTCATGTCATGCATGATGATGCATAGGCCACCGCAGGCGCGGCGGGCGGCGTCGCTCTGCCCTGCTAGGCTCGGCTAGTCAGCTCTCCGCCGCCGCCGCCCACCGGCCACGGCGGCCTAGGGATTATAGAGAAGAGTGAGGTTGGGGGAGAAGAGAAGAGGGAAGAGGAGACGAGACGAGTCTCCGAAGAGAGAAATTTGCGATTAAGGCCGTGTTTAGTTCCCGGAATAATTAACTATTTGCCACTGATAACAGATTTGCCACTGAGCTCAAGCCAGCAGTACCAGCGAACTTCGCAAAATCGAGACCGAAAGTCCAAAATAGCCATTCATCACTGACATGAGCTCAGGCCTCAAGGTCCGACGACCAAACCCTACCGTCACCATGGCACTGATGCCACACCAGACAATACCAACCTACGGTTCCCGGCCCCCAACGCCGCCGCACGGCCATGGATGAGCATCCAGGCAACCAGCCGCATGGTGGAGGCGGCCCCGAAGTGTCGAAGAGTAGCAAATACTCCAGTTACAATGGCATGGATCCAATGGCAAATAGTTAAATTTCCCCATAATTTCTGCTTGCCCTTATAGCTCAGTTTGTAGAGCGTCAAACTGATACACGCAAGCGTACACAGTGAAGAGAAGATCAGAGGAGAGATTGGAAGGAGGAGAAGAAGGCGGCGGCGGCGGCGAATGGCATTACATCGAATGCCAGTTAAAAGTGATGCCATTCTAGCGAGTAGATATGCAATTTTCTCGCCAGATTTGGCTGATAGCCTGCTGTACTATTATACTTGCTCTAATCTACGGTTCCCTGCCCCCAGCACCACCCGCATAGCCATGGATGAGCATCCAAGCAGCCACGCGCGAGCGTGGGTGGAGGCGGCCCCGAAGAAGATCCCTTGAACACAAGTGAGTTGCCACTTTGTTCAGAGAGGATGTTTTGTGTGTGTGTAAGAGAGAGAGATTTGACAATGAGAGAGAGAGAGAGAGAGAGATCTGCCAAATAGTGGCAAATAGTTAAAATTCCCCCTTGCCTGTTCTTGTGTGGAGAAATCTTGGCATGGTGCCATTGTCAAAAATGGGTTCAGGAGAGGAGAGCAGAGGAGAGGAGAGACTGAAACAAATCAGAAATATGGTGATGGCGAGCACACCAAATCAAAAGCGCAACTGAAACAAACTTACGAATCATCCATCCATCGCCGCGGTGGTGGCTCAGATCTCAGCGTGGGCTCGGCGCGGTCGCCGCACCGCACCCCACCCCACCCCACGACCCAACGGATCCCAAAACCCCCCACCACCGAGCTCGCCGCGGCGGCTGCTCCACCACCAAGGGGGGGGAGCATCCCAAGCCGCAGCGTCGCCGCACGGAGGAAGGGGGTAGCACCGGTGGATCGGGGGGTGCCGATACCGCCGCCGCCGCATCCGTCCTCATCGCCACCTTCCCCACAAACAGAAGGTCCCAGGTTCGATCCATCGATCCATGCCATGCCATGCATGATGATGCATAGGCCACCGCAGGCGCGGCGAGCGGCGTCGCTCTCTGCTGATCTGCTCGGCTCGGCTAGTCAGCTCTCCGCCGCCGTCCACCGGCAGCGGCGGCCTAGGGATTGTAGAGGAGAAGAGTGAGGTTGGGGGAGAAGAGAAGAGGGAGTAGGAGACGAGACGGAGAGAAATTTTAGCGTGAAACTAAACACAGCCTTACACCGGGGTCGCCGGCAGAGAGAAGTTTTTGTACGGGAAAACTCGGGAAGGGAAGGGAAGATACCTGTACACGATGGGAGCGGTGCACGTGGCGAGCGGAGAGGGCATGTGGGAGAGGAATCCCAGGCGGTGGCCCATCTGGGCTGGTGGTTCAGCCTGTTGGGCCGCTTGTGGCCTCAAAACGAGCCCATGAATGCGTTGGATCAAAACAAGCTATGCATTTTCCCGAGGAAAAAAGTACAGCGAAGGTCCCTCAACTTATCATCTGGGCCGGTGGTCCAGCCTGTTGGGCCGCTTGTGGGCTCAAAGCCAAATCATGACCGCGTTGGATCAAAACTCAAAGCATTAGCTTTGCATTTTCCCGAGACTACGGGCCTGTTTACGGGCCTGTTTGGTACAGCTCCAACTCCTAGATATAACTCTAGGAGTTGAGTCTGAAGTAGAGTTATGAGCTACCTAAACCAAGCTCCACAGCTCTAGTACATTTTTTTGTGAGAGAGCTCCAACCAACTCCACTCCTAGTTTTAGTGGAGCTGAAATTATTTGGCTGAGCTCCAGCTCCAGAGGGGTGGAGTTAGAGCTGGAGCTGTGCCAAACAGGCCGTAATGTGCCCATGCGTTGCAACGGCCCGTAATGTGCCCATGCGTTGCAACAGAATCTGGAGTAATGCGGGATCTGCACGCAGACACGCAGTAGGAGGGAGGAGGAACACTGCAACTTTAAATTAGTAGAGAAAAAAATACATAAGATTGAGTAACACTGCAAATTCGCATGTATTGGTTGAAAACAATGGAATTTGATTAAATCTGGAGCAAAAGGTTTTAACAAATTCGAAACTGTACGGTTTCAACAAATTTTCAGCCGGATTGCCCACAAGAAAAGTAAGCTTAAAATTTTAAGGGCAAGAAAAAATATGAGTTTGCGCACAACTGCAAAATATTACTCCCTCCATCCCTTAATACAAGGGATTTTGATATTTTGTTGTCCTGTTTATGCACACGTCTTATTTAAAAAAATTGTGCAAATATAAAAAACAAAAAGTTGTGCTTTAGATAATAAAGTAAGTCACAAATAAAATTCCAAAACTTTTTGAATTAGACGAATTGTCAAACAGTGCAAGCAAAAATATCAAAATACCTTATATTAAGTGACGGAGGGAGTAGTACACATGTTAATTGAAAACAATGAAATTTGAGCAGATCTGAAACAAAAGATTTCAGCAAATTCGAAACTTGCTGTTTGAAAATATTTCCAACCGTAATTATTTGAGAATCACACGAGCGGCAGGCACACTGTAGAATTTACAAGAGAAACGAGTCGCTGAATAAAAAAGTAGTGAAAGTGCAATATAAATCATCGAAGACATTCAAGCTTCAAGCCCAGCAAAATTAGATCAGAACATAAAAATTCAGACGATAAATAGATGAGTTTTCCCATCGAATTGTTGACAACGACAACAGATGACACAATTTTTCAGGCCATCAATCAGTGACAAAAAAAAATAACAAAACAAAAAAGAGGGTTGTCTGAAAGAACAGAAAATAAATATGCCTTCTGGAGCATTTCCCAAAAGTACCAGCAGGCAAATAGTACAACTTTCAGACAAGCAAGTGCAACAAACAAACAACGAGGAAATCAATATACACTAGAAATTTAAATTAGAAAATCTTTACGGAATGGCTCAGATTTCACCCCCATTATGAATCACCAAAGTTGGATCATGCCACTGTAGCAGAACAATGCAATAGAATCTGTCTCAATCTCTCTCTATATATATATATATATATCTATGTGCATGAACCATCTAATGGGATTGGCATGTTCATGATAGAATTAGATCATAGAAGTAATAAAAACCTCAGTCCGCCACCACCACCGCCACCGCCAGCAAATAGCCGCAAACTGGTAACCTGCCGCAAAGCAAGCCCTCCTAGTTTGGCGACCAGCTGATCAATTTAGCAAGGAACCAACTCAGGAGGTGTTAATAGATCTCCCAACACCGACAAAGGGGCAGCCAAATTCATCACAGCCATTCAACAGGTAACATAGAAAGGAAATGCAACAAAACAAAAGGTAAAGTGTTTTGCTGAGAAATCAATTTGAAGCACTGCATTAGTGTCAACAAAAGGAACTGTTGCCATTTGTTCACCCAGGTTATCACAGCATATACCAAAAATACATGAACTAAGTTCAAACAAGGCATTATATGGTCCCTTTATCCATGACCAAATGCTGATTTCCATAGCACGCAAACAAATCAAACATGTGATGTAGGGCAATTGTAACACTATTACACAAAGATGTGAAGCCAACCTTCAGTAAATGCTAAAAGGAAATAAAGCAAGAAATCCAAAACAATTCAATTTCACACAGGTCAACAGATACAATCAGAACTAGAAGGGAACAAATGATTCAGAGCTCCCATTCAAAAAATCACCATGGCAGAGTGAGCTCAGTTTCACCTTTCCTCCATCGTACAAAACCCGATTTTCACATCTCTTGCTGCACAATCTACTCATACTAATGTAAGTGTAGCTGCACTGGTTATCACTCGTCAGTCATCAGAGTGACCATCCTAGGCACAGAATCACTAACATTAGTGGATGGTTGAACATCATTGCCCCTCATCCACATTCCCACATTCCATTCCATGTTTCCAACATTCTGGAGGTTTCAGAATCCCACAAGGAACACAGGCAGCAGAACACACCATATGTAGAGATGAGCAAGAGGAGATTACAGTGGTGACAGCAGGAGTAGCAACTAGTAAATCAAAACCATCAGCACCATACCAATCCATCCATCAGATTTTAAGATCAGATCAGATCAGATCTCGCAACTACCCGCTAAATCCTGACACGGAAGCCACACCAGACTCCACCGTGGATTCCCAGCCTTTGCTGCTATGAATCCAAGGCAATGGAGCAGCAGAGGCGGCACCCTGGAGGTGAGAACTGACACAGAGACCGGTTGGAAGTAGGGCTGTCAAAACTCAGCTGGAGCTCAAAACAAATACTCTTGGAGAAGAGTATTTCAGCGCAGAAGCGCTAATTTAGTTTATGATTTTGGGTTTGGATGGCGTGAACCTTCTCTTCTAGATCTAGAAGTTGTTTTTCTCCTCAGTACTAATAACACAGTTTATTCCCCAAAAATAATCATGGACGAGGGATGAAAAAGTGCATGTGAACACGTACTGTATGGGTGCTCACCTGCGAGCGAGCGAGGATTCAGCGGAAGGAAGCAGCGGGATACCAGAACAGCTGCTCATGGGGTGGAGATCACCGCTAGCCATGTACCTGTAGTCCTTTACGGCGGGAGCATGCACGTGGCAATTGCACAGGGCTCGTGAGAGTCACCATCCAATGTCCCCCGTGTCCACAGATGAGTGGCTCACTGATCATCTGGGCAAATGATTAAGAGTTCTCATTCAAACAATTCACCATGGAAGTGAGTGATAGGCAGCATTAAGTACTCAATACTCATTAACTTCAGCTTTAAATCAGCATGTAGCTAATTTTCCAACACAGCAAACTGACCACTTGTAAGTTGGCAATTAGCTTCAAAAAATAACAGAGAAGTGCTATGTTAAATTTACCAGCACAGTAGCAATATGAATAGTGTAATGGCATTGAACGGGCTCAGTTTCGCCTTTCCTCCTCAAACCTCGTGCTCCACAATCTACTCATACTAATATAAGTGGAGCTGCACTGCTTGTCACTCATCAGTCATCGGAGTGACCATCCTAGGCACAGAACCACTAAGAGCAGGTACAATAGCAGACTATAAGCCAACTATAAACGCATATCGAGAAGATAAATGAGGAGAGATAAGAGCAGCGGGCAACAGATTTGTAGCCAGCTGCAGCACAGACTAGGTGTAATATATGTATGACAGGTGGGACCATGTATTACTTGTGTAGGAGTATAAGTTTATAGGTAACTGTTGTATAAATTGGCTATTAAATTGACTATATACTATTTGGAGCTAGTAGTTGGCTATACTATTAAACTTGCTCTAACACTAGTGAATGGTTGAACTGACTCCAAGAGAGGTGAGAGTTGGTTCTTTAAAACCACAACTGCCTCAGAAAAGGTTTAACATCATCACCATCATCATTGCATTCCGTTGGAACAAGACCAAGTCCATTGTAACAGGGAAGTGAAGAAGAAAATGCTGGCATAGACACACTATTCACATAGAAAAGGTACTCCATCCGTCCCAAAAAATAAGGTACTTTGACCGGATGTGACACATCCTAGTAACAAGGGTTCCTTTGGAACACAGGATTTTCCCATGAATTAGTTCAATACCCGTGAAAATCCTACAAAAATCCGCCATTATATAGGAGGCCTAATTGGGCTCAGATTCGCCTTTACTCAACCGTAAAGATCCAACAGCCACATATCTTGCTCCACCATCTATCCATCATAATGTAAGTGGATTTGCCCTGGTTATCATTAACAGAATGACCATCCTAGGTGCAAGAACCACCTAACATTAGTGAGTGGATAGGTTGCCAGAGATGATAGGATCAGGTCCAATTGACACCCACAGCTGCCTTGATTCTTCAATGGCAGGATTGTCAGAAAAGGTTGATCATCATTGCCCTTCATCCACATTCCTTTCCATGTTTCCAACATTCTAGAGACACACAGATGAGAAAACCATACATATATACTCCCTCCATTCCAAAATATAAGCAGAATGTACGTACATTGCCAACGAGATCAGCTCGCAAGCTCTCTCTCGCGCGCAAGCGCGCAGCGAGAGTGAGGGGGGATGGCAGTGTATAGAGCAAAATGGTGACTAAAGAGTGAAAAATCCATAACAGCGGCTCAGATTTCACATTGCCCGACCAGCCCCAGGCAGGAAACTGACACGGAATAAGTCTATTTTATGTCCCTCAACTGATGTAAATGGATCTGCCTGGTTATCATTTATCAGAATGACCATCCTAGGTGCAAGAACCACCTAACATTAGCAGGTGAATATGTTACAGAAGGGCAGATTTGGTTTAGGGTTTGGAGTTTGCGTATAGCGAACTGTGATCACGCATGCACAGATCTAGAGAAGTTAAAGGTTAAGGCAAAGAGAGAAAGGTGTGGGTACAGAGGGATGACAGAGGATGCACGTATGGATGCTCACCAGCGAGTATGCAGCAGTACTATGGCACCACTGCTCACGGGATGGAGATCAGGGACCAGGGGCGCCATGGACCTCAGGCAGCGAGGGAGCTCCCAATGGCTGTCAAATGTTCTTGCCGCGATTTCCGGCAACATACCATGGCACTCCCAACATCAAGCCTAGGCACGCAGACACCCCATCCCCCCCCCTCCTCGACCTGTGAGCAGGAGGTGTCTCCACCACACGAGGGTAGCAACCAGCAGCAGCAGCAGCAACAACAGTATATATCAGATCATCACAGCAACAGCAGCTGAATGCCAAGGAGAGCTCAAGCCAGTGGAAACAGCGAGCTTCACAAATTCGAGATCGAAAGTCCAAACCAGCCATTCATCACTAAAAGGAGCTCAGGCCTCAGAATTCTGACGACCAAACCCTACCCGTCACCACGGCATCGAAGCCACATCAGACACCACCAACCTACGGTTCCCGGCCCCCAACACCGCCGAACGGGCCATGGATGAGCATCCTGGCAGCCATGAGCGTGCCAAAGGCGGCCCCAAAGATCCCTTGAACACATGTGAGTGAGTTGCCACTTTGTCAAAGGGGGTGTTGCGAGATAGACATATTACAGTTCTGTCAAAGAGTGGCAGATAGTTACAATGGCATGGATCCAATAGCAAATAGTTAAATTTCCCCTTATTTTCTGCTTGCCCTTATAGCTCAGTTTGCAGTAGTGCGTCGAACTGTACACGCACGCCCGCGAGAGAACACAGTAAGGAGAGGAGAGAATGGAAGGAGGAGAAGGGGTGGTGTTGGTGGTGGCGGCGGCGGAGGAGGATGGCATTCTGCATTCCCAGGTTTCCAACGAATCCACTCTTTTCTGATGGTAGATGTGCAATTTTCTCGCCACGTTTCCAACAAGGTTGAGACAGATGTGGCTTATAGACATTAGTTGGCTGTACTATTAAACTTGCTCTAATCTTCGGTTCCCTGCCCCCACCACCGCCTGCACAGCCATGGATGAGCATCCAAGCAGCCATACGGGCATGGCGGAGGAGGCGGCCCCGAATAAGATCCCTTGGAACACAAGTGAGTTGCCACTTTGTTCAGAGAGGGTGTTGTGAGAGAGAAAGATGAGATTACGGATATATCAAACAGTGGCAAGTAGTTATAATTTGCAATTGATCCAATTAACCCATAGTTTTTTTTCCCCAGTGCTCTTCTCTTCTAGCTCAGCGTGTGTAGAGCGTGGAACTGTACACACACGCAAGCGTACACTGCGAGGAGAGGAGAGGAGAAACTGGAAGGAGGAGAAAATGCAACTGAAACAAATCGAAATCTGGTGATGGTGATGGCAAGCATACCAAACCAAATCAAAACTGCAACTGAAACAAACACGTACGAATCCTCCATTGCCGCGGTGGTGGCTCAGATCTCGCCGTGGCAGCGAGGCCACCCGCCACTCCAACGACGGGAGGCCGCACCGCGCCCCCACGACCAACGGATCCCTAACCCGCACCAACCCGCACCACCGCCGGATCCGCTGCGGCGGCGGCTCCAGGGGGAACATCCCAAGCCGGCCGCAGCATCGCCGCGCGGAGGTAGGGGTAGCACCGGTGGATGGATCGGGGGGATGCAAGATGGGGGATGAGTTGTATCTGGTTTTGCGGTTCAAGGACGATTTTGTAACTCGATGACAAGTTGAGGGACCTTCGGTGTACTTTTTCCTTTCCCGAGACAAGTACTGTCCCATGCGTTGCAACGGGATCTGGAGTAATGCGGGATCTGCCCGCAGACACGCAGTAGGAAACGGAGGTAGACTGCGTCTTTAAATTATTAGAGAAAAAAAACATAAGATTGGGTAACACTGCAAATTCGCATGTATTAATTAAAAACAATGAAATTTGATTAAATCTGAAGCAAAAGGTTTTAACAAATTTAAAACAGTACGGTTTCAACAAAAATTTCAGCCGGATTGCCCGCGAAAAAAATAAGCTTAAAATTTTCAGGGCACGTAAGAAACATGAGTTTGCACAACTGCAATATAGTGCACTTGTTAATAAAAAACAATGAAATTTGATCAGATCTAAAACAAAAGCTTTTCTCAAATTCGAAACTATGGGGTTTGAACAAATTTTCAACCGTAACTATTTGAGAATCGCACTAGGGGCAGGCACACTGTAGAATTTACAAGAGAAAACGAGATGCTGAAGAAAAAAAGTAGGTAGGGAAAGTACAGTACAAATCACCGAAGCCACTGAAGCCAGAACCACGCTGCAGGCCTGCAATGGCTGCTTGGCTATCGCTCAAGCTTCAAGCCCAACAATATTAGATCAGAACATAAAAATTTAGACAAGATAAATAGATGAGTTTTCCCATCGAATTGTTGACAACGACAACAGATGACACAACTTTCCCGACCGTTTTCATCCCCACTATAGTTCGATTCCCATGAAAATGCTCCAAAAATATCCTCCTTTGAAACACAGGATATTCACAGAAAATAGTTCAATTCCCGTGAAAATGCTCCAAAAAAATCCTCCACTCCAAAAGAGGCCTAAGTGGGCTCAGATTTGCCTTTGATCAATCATACAGACCCAACCCCTATATATCTTGCTCCACAATCTACTCATCCTAATGTAAGTGGACCTTCCTTGGTTATCATTAACAGAATGACCATCCTAGGTGCAAGAACCACCTAACATTAGTGAGTGAATAGGTCACAAGAGATGATAGGATCAAGTCTAATTGACACCCTCAGCTGCCTTGATTTTTCAAAGGCATGCTTGTCAGAAAAGGCTGATCATCATCGCCCCTCATCCACACTCTCACATTCCATTCCATGTTTCCAACATTCTGGAGAAGTTGGTCCAGGTACTTTGGCATCAGATGGCCACCTTGAATGTCCAACAGCAAGCATGCTTTTGTGATCATCACTGCTCATTACCACAATACGAAGTGAACTGGAAATTATTGTAATATTGCACATCTGCCAGGAATTCTGACCCAAGTTTAAGAATCCCCAGAGGAACACAGGCAGCAGAGCACACTATATACAGAGACGAGCAAGAGGAGATTGTGTCGGCCACAACAGCAAGCGCAATAGCAGGAGCAACTAGCAAATAAAATCCATCACCACCACACATCCATCCATCCATCCATCAGATATTCAGAGATCAGATCAGATCGCGCATCTACCCACCAAATCCCGACGCGGAAGCCGCATCAGACTCCACTGAAGGTTCCCAGCCTTGGCTGCTACGAATCCAAGGCAATGGAGCAGCAGAGGCAGCACCATACAGGTGGGGAACTGATGCAGAGACCGGTTGGAACTTGGAAGTAGGGCAGTCAAAGCTCAGCTCGAGCTCAAAACACACACCCATGAAGATAGTACTTCCTCCGTTTCACAATGTAAGTCATTCTAGTATTTCCCACATGCATATTGATGTTAATGAATCTAGATAGATATATATGTCTAGATTCATCAACATCAATATGAATGTGGGAAATACTAAAATGACTTGCATTGTGAAACGGAGGGAGTAGTAGTTAGCTATACTATTAAACTTGCTCTAAGCAGAGTAAGTAGTACCAGCTTTCTCTCTCACGCAAGCACGCGGAGAAAGAGAGGGAGGAGAAAGAGGGGTAGCAATGTGCAACAAAATGGCGACTAAATCAATCCTACTTAAAATGTTTACCCACAATATTATCACGCCACCCTCCAAAGAGCCCTTTCCATTTCACCGTTGGTTCTTTTGAATTTCGAAATCACCTACTTGTTCAATAAGGAAAATCATCATAGAAGTATTGCTGTGCTTATACTAAATAAGCTAGAAACTCAATTTGTTTTTTTTTTCCATTGCAACGCACGGGCTAGTGAAAAATCCAACAATTGCGGCTCAGATTTTGCGTTGCTCGGCCAACCCTGGGCAGGAAGCCAACGCGGATACCGCCACGCACGGTCCCCATCCTCCACCGCCGCAGGCGCCGCGACATCGGCAGCTGCCAAAGCAGTGGCCTCCAGACCAATGCCGCACGGCGTGCGCGACGCGGCTGGGGATTGGCCCCCGAAAAGCGGAAATCCGAGGCGGCCGCCACCGATCAGGAGAGGCGCCGGAGCTAAACCGGCCTCATTCCTCATCGCCGCGGGGAATTCAGGGTGTGTTTAGATCCAGGGGTGTAAACTATTTGCAACTCTTCAAACGAGCCGCGGTTTTTTGGAGCGAATGCCATCATCAGCCACCGCTAGCGGAGATGAAATGGCCGATGTTGCAATCGCCTCGCGACTCGCTGAGCATGGGGTTCAGCTGAACTTGAACCCCCACATTTTGGGGGAAATAAAATGTGACAAAAGGCAGTTTCCAGATCTAGAAGAGAAGCTAGGGTTAACGCAAGCAAATTCCAGACAAAGTACAGATACTGGCCAGCGAGCGAGGATGCTCGCGGGATGGATGGAGATCGGCGCAGGCAATGTACAGTAAAATGGCGACCAAATGGTGGGGGAAAACCATCAATGGCGGTCAGATTTCGTTGCCCGGGCCAAGCCCCCGAGCAGGAAGCCGACGCACGGGGTCCCCCATCCCCCGCCGCCGCATGCGCCCGCGGCATCTGCGGCTGCCGAAGCGGTGGCCTCCGTGCCAACGCCGGCGAGGCGCAGCTCGGCGGGGGGGATGGCGGAGATCCGAGGCGGCCGCCGCTGCTCGGGAGACTCGCCGGAAGCAACGGCATCTTCCTCCTCCTCCTCGTCGTCGTCATCGTCGTGGTTGGTTTCCGGCGATGCAGAAACCCTTCCATTGCTCCACCACCACCCAAGCAGCAAAATCGCAACAAAAACTGAATGGTTTGAAATAAGATCAGGAGGGAGGGAAAGAGCGAGAAACCAATCCGACTCTGGATGGATTCATGGATTTTCCAGTCTCCAGTATCCACCCCTTCACCGTCTCAGTTCTCGCTAGAGGCGGAGGACGAGACGAGAGGAGAGGAGAGAACTGAGAAGAACCCAGCCGAGTTTTTTTTTTTTTTTTGAGAGAACGGGCCGAGTTCGGCGGTGGGGAATGGGGATGGGGATGGAGATGGGGAGATCGATGGAGGGAAATAAATGGGGACGGAAAGATCGGTCTCGGCGACTCGGCCCATCCAAACACTGTCCGTGCACGTCCGGTGTACACGTGTGCGGTGTGCCTATGCTTCGATGGACAATACGGGGGATAAGCGGCGTTGGCATGTCACATCTGATATTATATATATTATATAGAGTATTGTATGGTTGTTTGGGTATTAATAAAAAACTAATTACATAATCCATCAGTAAACCGTGAGATGATTTTATTAAGCTTAATTAATACGTCATTAGCAAATGTTTACTATAGCACAACATTATTAAATCATGGAGCAATTAGGCTTAAAAGATCCATCTCTCAAACTAGTCGCAATCTGTGTAATTAGTTATTTTTTTAGCCTATATTTAATACTTCATGCATGTGTTAAATGTTTGATGTGACAGCATGTAAAATTTTGGAGTGGGATCTAAACACCCCCTATGTCAGGCGTGTGTGGAGAAAGAATGCATTCATGTAGTGCATGTCCATGTGCGCTATTTTGAAAAAGGTTTATGTGGTTTATGTAGATGTTGGGTTTAATCAATAAATAACCTTGCCATATGTCCGACTTATTTATTCAACCGGTATACGACTAAACGGTAGAACAGCTCGGCGCATGACGGCGTGAGGCAACAGCATGGGTTGGTCCTAGATCGATGGCATGCACTTGCATGCATTACGGTCGTACAAGAGTCGGACATAATAGTCTTGGGTATAGCATTTTTCTTTAATCGATCCATTATATAGGATAAAACAAAAAAAAATCGAAGCAATGTAGTAATACGTGCAATAATATTCAAGTGAATGTATTGCCCCCAAATTCACGGTTTGCTGAAGATACCACACGCATCGCCCCAGCATGCAATACATGCAAGACGCCTTGCATGTGAGGTTAGAGTCACGCTACAAACAACGTGTTGAACTGTGTGATCAGGTCTGGCATAGAAAAGATATATTCAACATCTTTAGTAAAAGTAATCAAAATGGTCGGTGTTCCTTTTTTCTTAAAAAAACAACATTTACAGGATAGTGCGATGTTTCGTATCAATGTAGCAGTAACAAGACTACAAGTCTACAGCCCTAAGAGGCTATGGCCAGGAAAGAAAAAACACACAGTCACACCACGCATCTACGACCAAAATCCACCACCGAAGATCAAAGCAAACTACGATATCCCAAAGGGAATGGATATTCTAAATGGCGTATTCAGGAAGAATGTGGCACCGAGAGTGCTCCCACCACCTGCTCTGAGATGACAGGACGTGGTTTTCACCTAAATAAATCCATCACATGACACGAACTTCAAGCAAACAACACTCCCAAATAGGAAAAGTGATGCCTGCAGTCGTCGCCGTTGCTAGCCCAAAGGGCTGTGCTTTCACTTGTGATCTTTCTGTCCTCTTATGTCAAGGTTATCTGCCAAAAACAGTGGCCACCACCAACTACACCTTTGATGTGTAGCCAATGTGCCAGCCGACCATCAAGGAGGAGCTCAACATTCGGCGCGCTCCAAGTCCATACACATAGTTGCGTTGGATATGAAGAGGGTGAGAGAAAAGAATGGATACCCTATCCCCCACACTAGCCCGCCCCAACAAGGGCATCTTGTGCCGTCACCACAAGAGGACTGTCAGCTAGATCGGAGCTCGTCGGGGGCCTGCAACGCTCACCTTAAAGCACCACTGTCGTCGCTGCCTCGGCTGACTGCCTATATCACCGCCACCTTGGTCGGATTGCCCGTATCACCGCTACCTCAGACCGCCAGCCCACATCGTCGTCACCTCGCCCCGCTGTCCCCTGTCGCCTTTGGTCTTGCCATAGCACCGTCCAGCCTCGCACCCGTGTCGTGGCAGCTCTGTCTACCATCGGCGCCATGCAGTTCCCCTGTTGTGCCACCGGTCACGCGAACCACCGCACTGGTTCCCGTGGGTGGTCGCGCATGGCTTGCTCCCGCTGCAACCTCCATGCTACATCGGCCTCTCGCCTTTGCCGACTGCGCACTACACCACGTCGGCCTCCCACCACCGCCAGCCATGTCGCCCTTTCACCCCACCGCCCCGCTCGCCCAGATCCATCCCAAGGTGTCTGGATCCCGCCACGGGGAGGTCTGATCCAGTGGCGTCGCCCTCGGATCCATGGGCTCAATCACCGGGGTGCACCGCGTTGGTTTAGTTTCCCTTCTTTTCTCGCGCGCTAGAGACCGAGCATCACCGGGTTATGGCCCTGCCACTGCCTTCCTAGCAGGCCGCCCGGTTTTTGGGTGGCATGCTCCGACGACAGCGCAGATGAGGAGGAGGGCGGGCGATGGTTGGCTAGGGTTTTTCCCGTGTCACCCGCGCGTAGACGACGCGGGGAGAGTGTAACTTGGTAGTGTTCCCGATTTATCTTAGTTGTTGTTTGGATCACCTTGATTAAGGATGAGTTTTCATAAAAATGGTTTGGAATGATCTTCTAGTAAACCAACTTTACTAACCAGAGGGGAAAAAATGTAACATGAGCAAAATGTTGCTAAAAGCCTAAAAACAGGCAACCAAATTGCCATCTGAATTCTCAAATACGAAGAGACGTACACATGGTACAAACAAATATAGAACCGGACATCAGTCAGACTAATTGAACTGCATTTGCCCCAAACCCGAAACAACAAACTTGCTTAGAGATCACCTAAGAAAGGCTAACACTAAACTTCGGTATGAACTGTTCACTATAACTGGCGTAAAACTCTACAAAAATACGTCGCAAGTGCCACGCTCCAGCGTGTCTGCGTGTGTGCCCCATGAAGCAATAATCCTAAATCATGTACAAATTGCAGTATTGCGCACATGAAGCATGCCAGCTTTGCAATCACCATGTCTGCAGAAACAAACAAAGCAAACAGATACAATCATCAGGGCAAGCAACACGAAGAACACACATCTTTAGCAGTGATTTCCAGTGGAGGGGGAAGGTCGATAATTCGACGTGCTTACCACAACATAGTACTACTGTCCTGTCGCAGCGCGAGCTTCGCTGTGTCCTTCCACATGGACACCTCCATCTCCTTCTCGACGAGCTTCTTCTCCGCGCGTTTCAGCGCGAGTTCCAGCTCTTCGATCCGCTCCTGGTTCCTCTGATGGAGGAGCTCGTGCAGCCTCCTCTCAAGCTCGACGGCATTGACACCATTGTATTCAGCTTCATCGTCGTAGTCTTCGTCCTCCACTACTTCATCTTCTCTCCCAACATCATCATTGAATTCTTCCCGGCATTCAGTGATCTCATCCGGTTGCTGAATCGCAATCAAACACAAATTAGACGCAGCTCAAATCAATCTCACTGCAACATTCTGTTCACAGAAGCATACCTCTGCATCATGTTCTTCAGGCAAGAACAGCTGAACATCTGAACCATAGTTAACCTGGAGAAGATCGAGCTCGGCATGGAACTCCTCCTCGAGCACATCCATCCTCGGGAAGCAGCACTCGTACTCCTCCGCTGATTTCTCGCAGCTCACTTCCTCCTCCTCCATGTGGTTGGACGACGAGGTGGCCTGATCCTCCATCATGCGCGCGCTCGCCCTCTCGTTCTCGTTCGTGTCCGTGAGGCAGCTCGACGCGGCGGACTCGAGGTTGCAGCGGGGTTTCGATGCGTCGTCGTCACCAACCCCTCCGCTGCTGCTCTGCCTCACCTGCTCTTTGATCTCTCTCAGCAGCGTCTCCATCTCCGCGCGAACCTTCGCCATCTTGTTGAACTCGTCGGATGTCTTGGCGAGGAGGAACACCAGGCTCAGGCCAACGCCGAGGTCGGGAGTCCTCGTGTGGCTCTCGTTGTCGAACACTAATTGCAAAGAAGAAAAAGGGGAGAAATCAATTGAAATTACCTCCAGAATCGCGTGATTGCTACGTATCATTATCTTTTGCTACCGAAATTTCAGGGCTCTATCCAGCCAATACGATCGCAATCTCGCACAGGTAACGAATCGAACAGCCAACGCGAGATGATTCGACGAGGAAATCCCCAAAGAAACCCAATAGAAACTGCGATTTATCGAACAGCGACGAGCTCGACCGATGGCGCACCTGAGGTAGAGGCGACGGTGGCGGCGGCGGCGGCGGCGGCGACGGGCTCGCCGTTCTTCTCCACCGCAATCTCCTCCTCCACCACCACCACCCCCTCCTTCTCCGCCTTCCCCTTCCTCCCAATCCTACTCGCCGCCCGGGCCCACCTAAACCTCGGCAGCAGCGACCTCGCCGCCGCGAGCGCGGGGGACCGCGGCGTCACCGCCGGCGACCCCTCGATCCCGAGCTCCTCGCCGTCGTTGAGGTAGTCCGCGATCCTCCTCCTCCTCCTCACCACCTCGGATGCCATGGCGCGCGCGGCGCCCGATGAGGCGAGCGAGCAGCGCAAAAGCAGAGGAGACAGAGAAGACGAAGCCAAGCCAAAGCGGGTTTTCAAATTGGAGCGGGTGGCGTGGATCGTGGTCGTCGTGGCGAGCTCACCGTGGGCCCCACCCGACAGCGAACTGGACCCCCGATCCCGCCGTCCATCCTCGAATCGACGACGGCCACGATGAGCCCGATTAGATGGGACGGCACCATTATTAGCTCTCCCCCTCCAGGGAATCACACATGATATCATCGTTTATATTTAAAAAAAATGGAAGAGAGGATATATCTATCGATGATTTTTATATTTCCGAGATGGAATTATATTCCCGGAAGAAAAGATGGGGATCAGGTTTGATGATTATTTTTTTTTGTGTAGGTCCGGTGTTGCAATTTGGTGATTTGAAATGCTGGGTATTCTGAGGTTTCAGATTTGTTTGTCTGTTCCATTCCAAATTTCCATCCATGACCCACCATCCGACTCTATTGGTAGGACCCCAGGCATAGAAATTTTCTGTCCAAGTTTACGATGTCGCCGTGGTTTTAAAATCTGAGTTTTAAAGAAAAAAAACATAGTTGGCCATAATCCGGCGAATTATGGTTTGGCCAATGGGAGTTGATGGCTGGCAAAGCACGCAAGCTTGCTTGCTGGGAGGCTGCACGCGTCGTGTTTCCGGGGTCCCCTGCCACTGTCGAGCGCTGGAGGCGCCGAGGTGGAAGCAGGAGCCACGAAAACATGGAGCCATGTAGGCATCTCCATCACTTGCCTGACACACCAAGCGAAGGCCTGTTTATGACAGTAGAAAATGAACACTAGCTAGAAGCAAAAAGCGAGCATTAGAGCATCTCCAACAGAGTTGTCATCTCACTCTCCAATTTAAATTTTGGTAATTTTGAGCAAAAAACGGGCTCCAACAGACTTACTAAACGGCTGGCTAAACTCCTCCCCAGGCTGGCCAACTTTAGCCAGCTAGAGTTGCCTTGCCAAATCGTGGGCCCCACGCTTTTTTCCCCATCTCCTCTCTCCGCACTCGTGAGCACGCCACTGGCGGCCTGGCGCCGGCGCCATCCCTGCTGCCGCCCGCCGCCGTCCCTACCGCCGTCCGCCGCCTCCGCCGCCGCCGTCGCCGCCACCGCCGCAATCCCTACCGCCGTTCCCCTTCTCCTTTTGCATCGGCCTCGGGGGAACTGGTGGCGCCGCCGCACCGCCGTTCGTCTTCACTCACAGCAGCGCCGCCGGTCCGCTGCTCTGCTCTCTCCGGTCTCCGCCACCCACCGCCTCCGTCTTCCCTTGGCCGAAGGCCACCGAAGCTGCCGTCGACGCCGACTTCATCCTGCTCCGGGCCGCCACCGCGCCAAGCCGAGCGCCGCCCACGAGGCCGCCTCCCTCCCTAGCACGGGTCGCAGGCCCCGAAGCCGCCTCCTCACTCCGTCCCTGTCCGGCCGGGTCGCCACCTCGCCGTCGCCGTCATTGTGCCGTGGCTGCCTCCGCCAACCGTCGCCCCGCATCGACTCCTTCCGGCGCCCCCTTGCTCCCGCCTCCTCCGCATCACCGCCCTCCACCGTCGCCGCGCCGACCGCCGCCCTGATCCGACCGCCGTCGCCGTGCCCATCGCCGCCTAGCGTGGCTCCCTCCCGGAGTCGGTAGGAGAGAAGGAGGAAGGGGAATCGAGAGTGAGAGGAGGGGGAGAAAACGAGAAGAGAAAGAAAAGAAAAGAAGGGAAGGGAGAGAATGACATATGGTACCCACTGTTAAATTGGATATTGAAATGGAGAGACTGTTGGAGTGAAACTCAAATTTGGCTCTCTAAATTTTTGGCAATTTGCTAAATAGGATATTTGGAGAGCAAAAATAGCCATGCTGTTGGAGATGCTTTTAGAGCTTGTTTAGAGCATCTCCAACAGTCTCTCCAAAACTAACTCTCCAAATATCTATTTGGCCAACTCTCCATCTAATTTAGCCAGTCAAACTCTTATTTACTCCAACAACCTCTCCATTCATCCTCTCTATTCTAAGCCTATGACAGTGGGACCCACGTGTCAGTCTCTACAACCATTTCTTCCTCCTCATCTTTTTCCCCCTTTTCCCAAGCCCCTCCGCTCAGCTCGCAGCAGGTGAGAGTTGGTCCTCTCCGCCGCCGCCGCCCCATCCCCATCCGCCGCCACCGCCGCTCGGGCTGACCTCGGAGACGACGGTAGCGGACGGCAACCTCGGCTGGCGATGGATCTGGCGACTATGCTGGCGACAGCGTCGTCGACGGCTGGCGACGGCGCGGATGACGGCGACGACGGCGGCGTCCGCCAACGGCCACCTCAGAGACGACGGCTGGCGACGGCGCGACGACGGCGGCACCCGGCAACAGCAGATCTGGCGACAGCGCAACGACAACTGACGACGGTGACGGCGCTGGTGCCGACGGCGGCGGCGTCCGGCAACGATGACTTCAACTGCAGCAATGGCATCTCGACGACGATGGTAGCGGAGAGAGAAAGGGGGAGAGGAATGCTGTCGGCGTGGGACCCACAATTGGCTAGGCTATTTTGGCTGGCCAAATTTGGCCAGTGGGAGGAGGACTTTGGCCAGCCAGATGGCTTGGCCATCCGGATAGCCAGTCTGTTGGAGGGTGAAATTGAGCCAAAATTGCCAAAATTTAACTTGGTGAGGGGAATAAGGAGGCTGTTGGAGATGCTCTTAGTTGGCGAAAAGAAATTGTTTTTAGTATCACATCGGATGTTTGACCGAATATTGGAAGGGGTTTTCATATACGAATGAAAAAACTAAATTAATTCGTCATTAGCACATACGGGTTACTATAGCACTTATGGCTAATCATGGACTAATTAGGCTTGAAAATCCGTCTCGTGATTTCCCCCTAACTATGCAATTAGTTTTTTTAAAATCTATATTTTATGCTTCATATATATGTCCAAATATTTGATGTGATGTTTTTGGAAAAAAAAATTTGGGAAGTAAACCAGGTCTTAGATTTGTTAGCCGTAGTCAAATTTTAAATTTATAGTTATTTTGATTTCTTTTATTATAGTTTATTTATGTAAGAGTAAATTTCACAAAACTACCCAATTTTGATTAAATTATCCCAAAACTATAAATTTAGGATTGTGTATCACAAAACTACCTATTTAATACGAAATTTATTATAGACCAATAGATTAAAGGTGGAGTATCACAAAACTACAGATTTAATAACAAATTTATCATAAATTTATAGGTTTAGTATCAATTTAATCAAAAAAAATTGTACATTTATAACTCAAACATAACACTAACAATAAGGATTTAAGTCCCAAAATCTATATTTTTGTGGTAATTTTATTATAAAATCTATAATATTACTATACTTAACCTTAAACTTCTAGTTTTGTGATAAATTTATTACTAAATCTATATATTTTTATACATCACTTTAAATATATATGGTTTTACGATATTTCGGCTATTGTATTTGTAGTTTTGTGAAATTTATTTTTTTTAAGTTATCCATAATTCATGTATAAAAGATTTATTTATAATTATTTTTCTGTAATAAGCATTACGAGGTATAATCATCTGTAGACGCAACCATATGACTATACTTCTCTAAAATCTTTAACTTGTCTTTTAAGCCGTGTTTAGTTGTAAAATTTTTCTTCAAACTTTAAATTTTTCTATCACATCAAAATTTTTCTACACATATAAACTTCCAACTTTTCTGTCACATCGTTCCAATTTTAATTAAACTTATAATTATAATTTTAGTGTGAACTAAACACAGCCTAAATCTCAAGCTCCACGAACAAATAGCAGGATAAAAATCAGGACCCCGGAGGCGAATGAAGGAATGAATGCTGGATAGGACGCAAATAGTACGCAATTAATCGTCGTTATCATGAGAAGCCGGCCCATTTGACCGCCCCTCTCCTTCCTCCGTCGGCAACTGTTGATGCTCTTCTCTGCGTCATCTCACTAACTCTTAATTAATCTTCAGACAATTTTTTTTAAAAAAAACTTGTCTTTATTGTTTATATTCTGTTTCGTGGTACTTGTACGACAGGAGGAGGATTAGGCATTAAGTAGCGATAGTGGTACAGGACAAGAGCGTGGTGTCACTCGGCAGTGGAGGAGACGCTTCCTTCTTCTTGATGGATGCTGCTCATCTTACTTAACGTTGATGCTCCGTATCATGCTGCTAGATTAATTAGTAGTATTACGAATCATTGCTCATCAGTATGGCGTCGAAATGGCCTGCTACCCGCGGTTGTCGTCTTGCTGTTGCCGATCGAGCTGCCGACCGCCGGCGGCCGGTCCTGCGGAATAAGCTTCTGCTGCAAACGAACAGGATGGATCAACCGCTCCAGATTCTCTCTAGCTTTTCTGCCTTATTATCATTAGAGTTATATTAGAGTTATGTTATATAATGTACTAGTATAGCAAAGAGTCTTTACCACCCAAAAAATTAGCTAATAAAATGAGGGTTCCCCCACTTATATATTTGATATATTGCCCTTTAACAACTAATATCGGACTATACAATATATACATCCGGAACACATATGACCGTGCCGAATCAGCCAATCATGGAGCTCATTGTCATTCACCTAGGCTTAGCTAAAAAAAACAAGTTTATATGTAGGTCGAATAGACAGGATCGTATGTATAGTCATTATGTTCTCGTTAACTCATCCCATAATATTTTTATTGTTAGTTTGTCACGTTTGTTCTAATAAATTTATTATTTTTAATTATTGAATCGAAGTTTATGGAAGTAGCATATAATATGTTGGGATTTAATAAAGCGAAGATATTCTTTTTTTATTTTGAAAAATAAACTTATTTAAGAATAGATAGAACCGAGGGAATAGAAGGCTGCTGCTTGCCAGCTTGCTGCTTTCCAGAGCACAGGATTGTTGTGTTGGGCTGGTTTTTTCGGTTGGGCTGGTTTTGGTTCGTTTGCGGCTTTACGCCACGAGAACGAGAGGCACACGGAGCGCAGGGGTCGAGCAATGCGACAACAACAAGAAGCTGAGTGTGTTGGTTAGCTTCGCGGATGAGACGACAAGAGAGACGAAACGAGGGCGAAGGGAATCCCCCGTCATCCGGTGTGGGCGTGAGTGACAACTAGGAAGAACAGGGACCTGCTGGCTACCTGGAGGCTGGAGCTTAGTAGATGCGGATAAGATCACAACACAAAGCACGCTGGTTAAAAAAAAACATAATATGAAATAGTTAGAGGAGCAAGATTTTAAACCCAGATCAGATAGCCCACCATCTTATAAAACACGCTGGTTGCTTGCTCCTCCTCTGTCTGCCGTGTGCCTGTGTTGCCATTATCCTTTTTTTATATATATTTGTCTTACAAAATAATATAATAAACTAAAAAAATAAATATAATATTTTTAGTTTATTATATTATTTTGTAAGACAAATATATATACATACAATTCTATTGTATTTAAAGTAAAGTATCAATAAATTTATTAGTACTAAAATTTTTAAAATTGGACTTCAACATTGTAAAAATGGTAAGTAAGTAGTACTAACAATCGTTAAGTTGTTTCATCTGGAAGACGTAAGCATCGGCAGGTGGTCGTGCCGGAGTGGTTATCGGGCATGACTAGAAATCATGTGGGCTCTGCCCGCGCAGGTTCGAATCCTGCCGACCACGGTTTTTTTATCTTCTCCAGTAGTCCTGTTATATGCAGCGTTTCCGCCTAATTGTCTTTTGGGATTTGGGGCTTTCAACACCTTACTAGTCACTGGGCTCAAACTTTATCAGGCCTTTCCTTTCGGCCTTCCAAGGGTTAATAGGCTCAAACCAAAACTGTTGGGCCGTGTAAACTAATAACAACACCCCCCCCCAATCCCCCCTATACAAAGCTCTCTTCCTCCTCTCCTTCTCTTTCTACTACACTATAAATTTTTTAAAAATAAAAAACACAAAGTTGAAAAATTTTATGTATAGAAATACTATATATAAAAAATTTGAAACGGGTATGTAAACTTTTGACTTACAATCTTTGGGTCTATAAACTAATATTTGAATTCAAATTCAAATTTAAATCAGGTATGTAAACTTTTGACTTATAAACTTTGGGTCTATAAACTTTAGATGTATAGAAATACTATATATAAAAAAATATTTGAATTCAAATTCAAATTTAAATCGGATATATAAACTTTTGATTTATAAACTTTAGATCTCTAAACTTTAGATGTGTAATCTCGAGGTGTATAAACTTTAGGTGAACAAATTTACTAAAATAAAAAAATAATACGGTAAAAAAAAAAAGAAACCCATGGAGAAGAGGGGGCGCGCTAGGGGTGTTCGATCGCCCGTTAATTAGCAACCTCGATCTGGACTTGGCCTATTCTCCTATACGAACGCATTTTCTCTCTGTACCATCAGAAATGTCAATCACATTGCAATTTGCATGTCATGTCACACACTCACGCTCACGGGTTCAACCTCTTAGCACATGGCCCCCACGTACCCCGACCGAAACACCCATCCCCTCCTCCTTCCATGCCTCCACCTCGCCGCACGTACGTCCGCGCGCGAATCCCCCCCAGGATTCCTTGGAACAAATCCACGGGCAGATCGCGCGGCGACGACGACGACGGAGGACGGAGAAATCGCGAGATGGAACGACCAGCGAACACGTTCTTTCTGCATGCATGCGGCCAAAGACGAACACAGTAAGCTAAGAAACTAGTTCCTCCGATCCTCCGTTTTATAATATACTCCATCCGTTTCGAAATATTTAACACCGTTAACGTTTTAGTGCGTATTTAACCATTCGTCTTATTAAAAAAATTGTGAAATATGTGAAATTATATGTGTACATGAAAGTATATTTAACAACAAATCAAATGATATGAAAAGAATAAATAATTACTTAAATTTTTTTAATAAGACGAACGGTCAAACATATACTAGAAAGTCAACGGTGTCAAACATTTTAAAACCGAGGGAGTAGCAATCTATAATCGGATAGAACACATTCTAACACTATAAAATTTAAATAGACTTATATTCAGATTCGTAGAATTATAATGTATCGCATCTAATCTTGGTTTACTATATTATGATACCAAGGGGGTAAAAATCAACAGCTAGCCTATTCAATTTCCACGAGCTGTTAACCTGATAGCATGAAAAAACTTTTTCTTTTTCCGATTAGAAGGCATATACATACGGTGAGTTATTTTTCATGGAATATAAACAATGACATAAGCAACAGAAAATAATTGTAGGGTACGGCTTTTATGCTGTTATCCTTGGCTTTTATACTTCTATCATCCTTGGCGGTTTAAAAACTACTTCATCTGTTTAAAAAATATAAAAGTTTGTTTGTATTCCTAGAAATGTATGTGAATGGAGGGAATGGATGTACAGATATATTCAGAAAACGGGTATAAATACTTGTATTTTTTAACGTAGAGGATGAACGTAAAGAAAATATCATTAAAAAACACCTAAACTAATTTGAAGTTAAGTTATTGTCTTAAATGAATTATATGACCAACTCTTACATAAGTATGTTTTCTCAAAATAAGTCTTCTACTGTATTACTCCCTCCGTCTCATAATATAAGAGATTTTGAGTTTTTGCTTACAACGTTTGACATCTCGTCTTATTCAAAAAATTTTAAAATTATTAATTATTTTATTTGTAACTTACTTTATTATCCACAATATTTTAAGCATAACTTTCTATTTTTTATATTTGCAAAAAAAATTGAATAAGACGAGTGACAAACGTTGCAAGTAAAAACTCAAAATCCTTTATATTGTGGGACGGAGGGAGTACTTAGGTTGTGTCCTTAGGTGAGGGTTGGGAACCCTCGCCTCCGATACGGAAAACGGAGCAATGGATTAGTGTATGATTAATTAATTATTAGCTTAAAAAAACTTCAAAAATGAATTAATGTGAATTTTTAAAGCAGCTTTTCTATAGAAAATAACCACGCATCGTTTAGCAGATAGGGAAGCGTGCACGACTGCACGTGGTAAGCGGGAGAGCGAGGTTGGGAAATTGAAATGAAGAACGCAGCCTTGGACCACTTAATTGATGTTCTATTTGTCAACTTTATTCCAAATTTATCTATAAATATATAATTAAATACATATATAATCCATTCAACAACATAAATCAAACGAGACCGACGTGGACGAACATTCACAATTCACAAGGTCACTCTAGAATTATCTGGACACTGCCCCGATGGCCCCAAATAAAATTAAGTAGCAGTCAATATGGGCTTGTTCACTTTATTGTTATTTTCAACCTTACCCTAAAATTTGGCATAGTTTTGATAGGATTTCTTATATAGTTATCAAAATTTAGCAGCAAACTAAATATAGCCACTTTTTTAATAACTTTACTAATATTTTGTAAGGTTGAAAATGACATTAAAATAAACTGTCCTACGTACATGCATGCTAGCTTGGCTAGCTGTAGTCACTGCGCAGTATTCTTTCTTCAGAAGAACAAACCTAACAAAATTCTGTCAAGTTTTGGCAGCTAATAACTGAAGATCAAGCGCAGAAGCTAAGCTAGCAGAGTGTGGAAATTCAACAGCACTACCCGACTGTCTACATGCATGTATGCGAGAATATTCTCAGACCAAAATTAGGAGTAAACAACCGTCGCTTCAGTCATCCCATTTCCATGCCCTCTGGATTGGGTAACCTTAATTTAACTCTCGTTTTCCTTATCTGCTTTCACGCATGCTTTAAATATTGCCCTGTTGGTCAATGGTCACCGAGAAAAAATTCAGAGAAATTTGGCGAGTAAGCAATACACTGAAAGTACTAGCTACTCCGAGCACTTCAGTGCCAAAGCTCTACAATTAACTAAGGTTAATTGCAGTTTTTGCAGGTGTGTTACTAACCACTGCAAACTGTTTATTTACAGCTGTATGCGTGTGTGCCCTTGACTTAAGCTGCGTGTCCAAAACGAACTCGTATACTACATACTTTCAAAGTTTTAGTGTTACCAAAGTTAAGTAGGTAATTATACTAGTCCTAGTAAGGTAGCCATATGAGATTAAAGGAAATAGGCTATATCGCACATGCATTATTTCACTCCGTTTGATTCGTTAGATAGCTAGATCTGGTCGTTTCTCTGACTGATGCTAATTTACCAAGCTGATGCAATGATACTACTAGTAGAAGATCGACGAGGAGGAAAGCTGGTAAATTCCCAATAATCTGCATGGATGTATCAGTCAGATTATTATTCCAGGCTCGTCACTGTCACACACACGAACCTTCAGACTTGTTGGATTAATTGATCGATCTTGGCGTCCAGCTTGGTGACTGCGAGTAGTAGTAGCTAATTAATCCGTGGACGACTGGATGCAATCGTTCGATGTGACGTTCACGGCCATCTTGGTCAAGCTGGATATCTGGATTCAGGAGTAGTGGGGAGAAGAACTGAAAGTTACAGACGAAACTACGGAAGTGTATGTGTGTTTGAGTGTTTCAGACATTCAGTCCACCACACAGAGATCACAGATGCATGCATGGATGGATCTCCCGCGGATTGCGACGAGCTCACTGCGACGACGACTGAATCGGAGAAGAAGCTTCTCATCACTGCGTTGGTTTCCACTGGCTGGTTGCGTGCAGCTACTAGCTACTTCCTCCGTTTCACAATGTAAGTTATTATAGCATATTTTATATTTATATTGATGTTAATGAATATAGACATATATATCTATTTAGATTCATTAACATTAATATTAATGTAAGAAATGTTATAATAACTTATATTGTGAAACGGAGGGAGCAGTAGTAAAAAGTAGCAAGGAGAAGACCAACTCGTGACAGCGAGGAAGAGGGCCTGCAGCTAGCTAGGTTGGCCTGCAGATTTATTTCTGTCTGGATTAATTAGGCTCCTTCTTCTTGGCTTAATTTTTGTCTTGTTTCCTATCTTTCCACTATTTTTGTTAGCAGAAATTAAATCTCCGGTCGGACTTTCGGCTAGCTCCACAAGGTGGTGGGCCAAACGATTCGGATTCAAACCCTCATCCCTTCTAATTATATGATATTAGGTCATTTCATAATATTCATGTTTTTTTAATCTCCGGTCTGAAATTTCTGATAAAAATTCAAGTCCCACTTAACATATAGCGCCATATTTCATATCCACGATGGATCTAAAGTTTGAACAGTGATCTAAAATTTTATATTTTCTTTAAAATGGTTTTAGAAATATAGTCATCTTTGAAGATTCCATGTATTTCTGAAGTTAACAATACCTACATTTTTTTTCTAAAAAATGGTGTGCAAAATAAAACCTTATTGGAAAACTTTTTATGTAGTTTAAACCGAATCCGAACGTTAGCAGGATAGCAAGGAGATCTAGGGGCTGTTTAGATGCTATACTAAGTTTGCCACCATTCACCATACTTTTTGTGCTATACTTGTCTAAGTTGTGGCTTACAAAAAGTGAGCCACACCTTAGCTAGCAAAATTGGATTGTGCCACACTTTGTTGAGTTGATGACATGTGGGGTCCAAATAGATGAGAAGGAATCGTGCCACAAGTATGGCTATGAACCAAACAATATGCTAACTTAGTCAAACTTGCCTAACATGATGTGTGGTAACCTTTGGCAAACTTTGGGAGCAAAACAAACAACCCCGTAAGCTCCCTAAAAAAAAAAAGAAAGAAAATCGAAGCTGCATGGATGGAAGTACAGGAGCAGCCAGCGTGGACGAGTTGACGGTTGACCGGACCGCCGCCCGCACGTGTTTGACTAATAAACGCCGGGACTAGGCTCTCTCCCTCGCCGCCTCAACCAGACGTGGGGCCCACTCCTCCTGCCATGTCAGCACGTAAATTAGTCTGTACGAGCAAGTAATTAATTACTGTAGCTAGTTTTTGTAGTCGTGTGATCCGTCTTTTGGTCTTCGTCTCGTCGTCGACTAGTCCACCGTGCACGTAAACGGCCACCGCATCGTACCTATCCTAATCCCACCCATGTAGCCGGAGAGTTATGCTTGATAATTTCATGCATGCATCCAACATTTCACTTGGGAATTTACTGGAATTTGAAGGCTAATTATTAATCACAGGCTGATTATTTTCATATTTTTTTTAAATGCATCAAAATGGCCGGAAGCTAATTAATTGATAGACTAAGGCCCTCTTTATTTAGGCTTAGGTTTATTGGCCTAGACTTTTAAGTCAACTTATTGGCTTATATGATTTATAAGCCAGTGGATTTAATGTCCTAAGTTTAGTGGTGGAGTCATACATCTATCTCATATAAGCCAAAAAAGATTATCCAACCTAGTTTTTGGCTTAATAGTGTTAGAGTGGCTTATGGCTTCAAAAAAGCCAAATAAAAAAGCTGCTTGTTTGTTTTGGCTTAGACTTTTCGACTTATAAGTTGGCTTATAAGCCTAAACAAAGAAGGCCTAAGCCTAAATTTAAAACATTATTGAACACTATATCCTGATTCAGTTTGGTTTCACTTACATAATTATTCCGGCAAATGTTGATTACATTTCGTCCTCATTCATATCTAGAGTCTCCTCTTCCAATTTAAGTATTTGCATGTGCTAGCTTCTTAATTTTTCGTTCAATCGCAACAACATGCGATAACATCAATGCTACTATCTCTCTCTCTATATATATATCTGGGAGACTCTGAATAGATCTCCATGAATACACTAATCTTCTAGCTGAATTACAAATTGCAACGAATTATCGTACGTTTTGCTTAAACTGCCACCTTGGCACGTGTAGAGCGAGCTAATTAAAATCAATCACTAAATATACACAGTTAATCCTCTCTCTCTCTAGCCTAACTCCGATCAAAGCCATGCAAATCGATCAACTCTAAAATTTTACCGTGTAAATTGATCGATCGATCTCAGCTAAATCGAGCAAAGTTCATCGGCGTTCTAACGATGGATCAGTTCTTGGTCGGCGAGAGCTCGAGGATCCGGCCGGAGAGCGCCGTGACGAGCGCCGCCTTGAACCCGGGGTCCCTCGTCAGCGTCGCCGCCATCTGCTCGGCCAGGTTCTTCCTCGCCGCCACCTCCGTCGACGGCCCGGCCGCCGCCGCCTGCTCTTGCTGCTGCCGGACGACGGCGGCGGCGGCGCTCGGTGGCGGCTGGTGCTGTGAGTGCTTGGCGGCGGCGGCGGTCTTGCTGCCGGCGTCGTGGTGCGGCGGCTGGGCGTGGTTGTGCTCGCCCTCGTACGTGGCGACGAGGACGGTGTTGTCGTCGGCGCTGCGCTGCACCTTCTTCTTCACCGGGCACGCCGGCGCGAACGAGCACCTGAAGTAGGCTCGCGGGCACGGGTTGTCCTTCGTCACCTTCTGCCCGTACTTCCGCCATTGATACCCATCCTTCACCACCTGAAGGTTTTACAAAACCAATTGTTGGTTAATTACGAGGAGACCTCATCAATGGATTAATCTAATTGTTTCGTTGCTTACGAGGCTGAGGTCGGAGGGGTCGGCGTGGACGAAGCGCTTGGAGACCTTGGGCTTGCAGTCCTCGCGGACGACGCGCTTCGCGGCGGCGGCGGCGGCCGCCGACGTGCACTCCATCTGGTCGGGGGAGGCGTAGGCCGCGGCTGCGGCGGCGGCGACGAACGGAGGGGATGGCTTGCGGTGGTGGGCGGCGTCGTCGAGGCTGTCGACGCTACGGATCCGCTTCCTCGATGGCGACACCGAGCCGCCCTCCGACGTCGACGACTGGTGGTTCCCGGCGTTGACCGCCGCCGCCGCCGCCGCCGACATCATGTCGTTGACCTGTCCCTGCAGCTCGGTGTACTTGGCCACCACCGCCCGAAGCATCTCGGTCAGCTTCTTGTTCTCCTCGCTCGCTCGCCGGAGCTCCGCCTCCAGCGCCTCAACCTGGATCGATGGACACAAGATCGAACAACTAATTAATCAAACTTTTTTTCAATATTCCCAATCAAATTCTCATCGATGTCGTCGCAGCTGTCAATCTCTCCACGCACCTCGTGATCCTTCTTGAAGGACAAGAAGTTCTCCTCCACGAGAACCTTAATCGGCGCCGCCGGAGCCGATGATCTCCTCGCCGTCGACGGCAGGCCGACGTTGAGGTCCAAGCTCAGGGAAGTCTGCTCAATCCACGAATCCATGAATTGAATATACTGAAAATCAAGAACAGGAGGAGGAGGAGAAGAAGGCGAAGAAGGCGAGAGCCGAAATGCGCATGAGCTAGTGAAGGTGCCATGGCGACGACGAGGAGGAATATATAGCCAAGAAGGTGGGCGAGAGGGGACTGACTGGCTCGGAGGAGGAAGCATCTTAGCCATTGTCGCCGTCTTGGTCTTGACAGTAGAATACTACTACTAGTAGTACTACTACCATTTCTGCTCCGGAAAAGGCATCAATTGTTTATTTTTTTAATGTCAGTGTGGTTTTCATTTCAGCATGTGGAGGATAATTAGGGTCTAAAGACTAAAGGTAGCATCAATCATGTCATTTGTGATGATAATTAGTAGTAGTACTACTATTTTCATTTTAGAAAATAAGGAGGATTAAACTGTGTTTTTTATTAGATCTGGGATTATTCTGTCAAATTAAGAGGATAGAAGAGTCTTCTGGCTGGCTGGTTGCATCTGCAAGCAGGGTCAAGGAAAAACACCACATGCCAACAACCAGGAGGGTTACAATTTGGCCCTCCTTGAAAGAATTTAGGCTAGCTAATTTGGATTCATTTGTTGACTCCTTCACTACTACCTTTTGGGATGAACCAGCTGGTAATTATTACTCCGGCCCTATTATTTTACTTTCACTCTGCTCTCGATCCTTAGCTTAAAAAAAGATACTCTCCCGTTCTATATTACAAGTCATTTATTTGCCATTATTTTTAAGATTTAATTAAGTTTACAGAGAAAATTAGCAACATCTACAAAATAAAATTAGTTTCATTAAATATTAAATATATTTTGATAGCATATTTGTTTTATATTGAAAACATTGCTATATTTTTCTTCAAAATTCATCAAACTTAAAAAAGTTTAATTAGAAAAAACTAAAACGACTTAAAATATGAAAAAAATGAAGTATGTCTTCAGGAACAGAGAGAATAGTTAATTGTGGTAATATGTGTTTTTCTCTTTTTAGTTGTGTTTTCTCTTTTTCCCATGTAACTTTTTTTTGTCTTATTGATGCTGTCTCTGAGAAAAAGTTCTTCTCTTTTTTTTTATAGAAATGTTAGTACAGTGTAATAAGTTTTTATATTAAGAAAACACTGTATTCTAGGACCAGTTTAGCACTAATGAACAGAACTTACATGTTCAAAATCATTTTGAGCAAACTTTCAAACTGTGTCAAGAATATCTGGGCTGCATGCGATTCGCAAATCCGATTACAGATTTCCCACGGAAGGAAAGAATCGGTTAGAACCTCGCATTTGGATTTTGCCTAGCCCCAATTTCTCCAAATGTTCATTGGATCTGGACCCAGCACGCACCGAGACTTTCAATTGACAACAAGAACAGCAAAAGAAAGAAAGACTTGGACCTCTTGTGCAGGCTGCCGGTTGCCAAGAACAAATTTGGCTTGATCTCTTCTCGATCGCATGTTCGATGGAAGCTAGGCAACTTGGCAGCGATGGTGAGTATAGAGAAATCACGGAGACCAGGTCAGTTTTGTTGATCTTTTCTTAAAATTTTTGCTCATTTCTTTGTGGAAAGATGGGTGCAAATGCGTATGTTTGTGCGTTTGTACTACTACTAGTCAATGGCTGCCATGGACTTTATCCGTAAACCATTTTTAAACTGTTTTAGTTACTTGTTTGGTATGGCTGTAGGTTGAAAGTTTGTTGAAACTACTAAAATAAAAAAGGTAAGGTATGGATCAGGAGCAGAGGAGGAAACTGGTACTAGGATTGTTTCAACAGGTTTCTTCTCTTGAATTCGACTGGACGAAACCAAAAGTGGCAAAATTGGTCTGCACTACTACTTCAGAATTCTGAATCTAGAAGAAAGTCGTAGATTTTAAATTCAAGGCTCATTTGCGCATTAAATCTCCCCGGGGAAGATGCATTGTACTACTAACTCTGTAACTCCTCTTGTCTTGACCAAATACTGATTGCAATTTGTAAAAAACCATTAATTAGTCAACACAGGACCCTAATTAGGGATGGAAGATGCTGTCCAGATTTGCATTGTGAGCCACATTTTTCGTCACATGTGAACTGGCCTCGCCGAAACTGTGTGCTGGCCAGCGACGGCCGCCATGCATACAGATTCTGGTGGTGTCCTTGTTGCGAGGGAACCTTTTTGGTTAGTAGTAGTAGCAAGCAAGATGCCAGTAGTCCTAGTAGTTAGTGTGTGATCCATGGATGAGATGCATGGTCGAATTAATCTATCAACAGCATTATCTTCACATTTCTCACGTTTAGCATATGCAGTTAGTTGGAGGAATCCATGCAAATGGACTGGTAAAGTACTACAGTAGGACTATGTTGGTGGCACTGGGGTGATAAGCTTACGGAAATTCCTAATCATCGGACGCTCGTTTTTCATTTTTACCGGCCGAGAATAGTTACCGATGAAAACCAAAATAAAAATGGTAAAACATATGAACATGGAAACGGAAATGTTTTTTTTATACCGAACATCTTCGAATTTTACCATATTCTTACTGTAATTACCTTTTTCTAAAGCTGAACGAAAGAGCAGAAGTTTTCATCAGCTTTCAGTAATTCGAAGGAATAAAATGATTTTTTTTTACAGAATGAAGGGCTATCAATGAAAACCAAACGGCGATGATATTTCTAGAAAAAAAGACACTTATTCGATGATATTTTTAGGAAGATAGAGCATCCCATCCTACTCTCCAACCAAAATAATAATTATTATAGACAAAAAAAATCCTCCAAAGGCCTTTCCATCCCACTCTTTATCTAAACTCCTTCCCTCACTTGTCAAACTTGGTTAGCCTACTTCACTTGCCATGCAGATCCCATTGCCTTCTTCTCTTTCTTCCCACTAGTGATGCACAGCGAGCGGAACTCCGCCGTTGCGTGGCCTCCTGCTCGCCTCGTCATTATCGTATTCCGCTGCTGCCGTCGTCGTCTAACACCGCCTCCGTGCGCCTCCTGCTCTGCTCCGTTGTCGCCGCCTCCAGCCCCGCAAGCTCGAGTGTCGCCGCTATCATAAACTCAAAGTATATAAGGTAGATGGGGAGACCATTGAAATGAACAATGAATTTGGTTTGCCAAATTAATTGAAGACTACTTTATCCATGAAAAAGTATCAACCTAGGATCGAATGTAGATATATCATAATATATACCATAAATCCCCATAACTATAGTATTAAAATATATCAATATCAGATATAAGGTTGTTTTTTTTATAGAACGAAGAAAATATATATAACTATATGAGAGTATTGGAGATACTCTTATGGATTGCGTAATTTGGAGTTTCCTGAATGAGCACCCAGCCCACAAAAGCAGAGCAGGTAGCGGTTGGCTCGTGGAACACGTGCGCGCTCCACGTGGCAGGAGGAGGGGAAGAGTCGAAGAGAGAGCTACCAGGACGAAGGACGGACGCAGTCGCCGCGAGACCGGATCGAAAGGTGGGTGGTGGGGCCCTGCTCGCAGCGTCAGCGGCTGGGGGCGCGCGGTCACGTCGCAGCGGAAAAAAAAAAAAGGCGATGCCGATTGCCGCCAGCCGCGACGCGAGTCGGGGGACTTGGGCCGTTGGTTTCCCGGAATGGCCGGCCACCACACCACCGAGGCGAGGCGACTACTACTACTTGTCGGTCCTGGACCTTGACTCGCTCTCTCCTCTCGCCGTCTCGCGGCGGCGGCGGCTGCTGTCCGAGTGGCCGTGCGTCGCGTGGTGGGTGGGTGGGTGCCTTTTTTTTTTTTGGTCGTCCGGTTCGTCAAATCGAACTAGTCCTGCTGTTGCTGCTGCTGGTGCGGTCCCGGCGTCCGTCCGGCCGGCCCGCCATCCGTCACGTGCGCCAGAGCTTTGAAAAAAAAAAAGCTCTCCAACGAGAAGGTACGAGTGGTACACCTGTCGCGTGACGTGAGTCGTGAGGCTTGGAATCATTATTATTATTTTGTTCCATAAAGGAGACTCAATGGGGGTTGGGGGCCGTCATTCTCCTCCTCTATGGAATTCTCGTGCCGTACACGGGTAAATTTAGATTTACCCCCAACCCTCTATGACAGGTAAAAATACTACTACCTCCATCTCAAAACAAGTACAGCCGTGGATATCCGTACCCAACGTTTGACCATTCGTCTTATTTAAAAAATTTATGAAAAATTTAAAAATATTTAGTCACATATAAAGTATTATTCATGTTTTATCATCTAATAACAATAAAAATACTAATCATAAAAAAATTTCAAATAAAACGAACGGTCAAACGTTAAACATAAATAGTGCAAAACTGCACTTATTTTGAGACGGAGGGAGTAGTACTTAAAGCATCTCCAACAATCTCTCCAAATTAGATTCTCCAAACACCCATATAGCCAGTCAAAACTCGTTACCCACTTCAACCGCCTCTCCATCTACGCTATCCATTTTAAGTGTATGACAGTAGGTCCCATGTGTCAGCCTCCCTACTATTCTTATTCACCCCTCCTCTCTAATTTTTCTTTTCTCCTCCCCCCTCTTTCTCTCTCTCTCTCCACCCACTCCACACCACCAGAGACAACGTGGAGGCAACGACGGGCGCCGTGGATTCGAGGAGACGGCGTAGACGATGGCGGTGGCGGCGGCTCGCGACGACGACCTCGGCAACGGGGACCTCGACGACGACCCGGGGTGCGGAGGCCGTGCGGCCCCGAATCCACGCCGCCGGCCAAATCCGTGCGGGGCGGAGTCGCACAGCGGGGCGGAATCCAGCAGGCACAGCGATGAGGCGAGGTCGGGTGGTGGACGGAGTGGCTGCACTCGGCGAGGAGTGCACCAGCCGCCACGCCCACCAAGTAGTCCAGTGCAGAAAACTGGGCACAAACTAACTGCATATATCAAAATCAAATCAGAAAGCTGTGAGCGAACGCGGCGACTGCACGTACGGCACCACTTGCTTGTTTGTTCCCCAAGAGGTCACTGGCGGAAGCCCGCAAAGTATTAGCCGGATTCGGGTGGCGGCGCGGATTCAGGCAGATGGCGGCGTGGGCCCTCTTGCTCGCGTCGGCAAGGGCGACGGCGACGCTGGACCGACGGACAATGGCGGTGGTCCTGCATGCTTCTCCGGCTTGCACTACAAGGCGCCACTGCCTCGACCATCGGCGGGAGGCCACCGATGCGGCGCCGTTGCCACGCCCTCGGTCACC